TCTGAACTCCACACCCAGTGCCAGCTGCTGCTTCCCCACTTTGGGCAGACACAGCAATTCCTCTCCAGGCCTGGCAGTCAAGGACACCTCACTGCCCCAGCCCTGAGAGATGGGAACAAAAGGGAGCTGGGGGCAGCAAACTGGGGGAAATGACTTCATTACCTGGAGCTGGAATTGGAAGATTTACCCCCAATATGCAAATGGACCAAATTTATAAAAGTGTAAAAACCTGTTGTCCATTTTGGGTGCAGCCCTTGTGGGGCTTTGTCTGCCCTAAATGTACCTGAAGGCCCTTCAATAAATCAAATTGCTTTTTATTCTCTTAATTCTGTCTGGGCTCTGTTTTTAGGTAGCCCCAAAAAGCCATCAACTTCTTCATGATATTCCAGCCCTGTGTAAAAGTCCCAGCCCTCTTGTGGGACATCCTGGTGCTGCAGCAGTGTGTAGGGACAGAAGTGAGGGAAAATGAGGGAAAAGATCAAAAGGAAGGAGCCACCAAAAAAAAAAAAAGGAAGAAAAAGAAAAAAAAATTGCATGGCAGGAACTCATTGTCAAAAAGGAAGATGCAAACCTGCAGAACAATAAGTGGGGGTTAATCTTCTGCCCCTTTGTGTGTGTATTCATCACTTTAAAATTTTATTGTAAAGGCATTTAGGAGTGTCCTGGTACTTGGTGATTGTTTTCCTGGGATAGAGATGTATTTATTATTCATTGCAATAATTACTGTGTAATATTTTATACTAGAAGTTGTTCACGCTGCACAATCAGGAAATGCTTAGGAAGTGGCTGATTTAACTGTTCTATTTTTAACTCTGTACCAAATTATAGTGAGAGGTGTTTGGGCTTTTAGACTTGGAGCATCTGCCAGGTTTCCACCACTGCACTGGTCAGTGCATTCTCATGACACTTGAAATGTATTTTTCTAGAGATTCTGTGCGTAAGTTATGTATAAAATTTGAAAGATTTTTACCCCAAATTTTATTTATTATGTGCTGTTTCCAAGGGGACTGTGTTTCAGGATTCTCCTAATGCTTTTATCACCCAGCTTCTCTGATCAAGAAAGTAATTTATTGCTGATTGCAGAACTCTTGAACTCAGTCTGGCAGCTGCAGTGTGAAACTTCTCTGATCCAGTCTCCTACTTACTTATTTACATATCATTCAGAATGATTTTCAGGGCTGTTTGAAAACCTCTTGACATTGCATTATCCATGTTTCAAATCTTGTGGTGATTTGTTTTTTTCCTCTCTTTTTGTTGCAGATAACAAACGAGTAACTTTGGAAAGGTCTCGTTCTCGGCACAACGGAGCAATTGCAGCTGTATGATTCTTCTGATGCCAAAGAATTAATGAATTGTTTTATTTACAATGAAATGGATGTGCTTTGGGAAGAGTTTATCATCCAAATTGGCAATGATCAAAAAGGAATACTGGTATTGATTAAATGAGATGGTGTAAAAATATGTAATTTTGAAGCTGTTGCTAAAAAAAGATCCACATACTGTATCTTATTACCCCAACTACCAAGATCTGTAAACAGTGTTAAACAGTAGGGTATATATCTTATTTTCTTATGTTCTTTCTTTTCTTTTTTTTTTCCCCACCCTTTTTGTTTAAGCTGGCAACTCACATGGAAAGGAGTTGGGGATTTCTAGGTTATGTTTTATATGGGTAAGAAAATACAGTTTTGTTGAAAGAGTACAGCTGTGGATTCCATTTGCAGTTCTGATTTGAACATGAAAGGAAAAATAATAAAATTGTACGTTAATAAATGCAGAGATGAGCTGGTCTACATTATCAGAATCTTTTTTGTAACCATAAAAAAACAACACATAGCCCCAGTCAGGTTGCTGAAAACCTTATCTCGGTGTAAAGCCTGGTGGATTCAGCTGTTTGAGCTGCCAGTAGGATACACCACATATCCACATGGTGATATGATGATGTGTAGTTACTTATCACTGCTGAAAATAATAAAAAAAAAAAAAATAAAAATTAAATGAAACAGAGCATAGGATTTTTCCAAAATGATGTCAAGGGCAGAATGTGTTTTTAATTGTATCTAAGGAGGGATTTTTCTAATTGTGCACTTATATATTCTTTATAAAGATATTTGGGGAAAGTATGATTGTCCTATTTTGATGATGCTAACATAGCTGTGTGTAGGTTTGTAGAGACAAGCTGCACCATGAAATGTTTCAGAGCTGCCTCTGAGTTTTCCCTCTGTTTCTCAGGTAAAACACGCAGCGGGGTCTCCACTGGTGGATTTTAGTGCTGAGAGTTTAGCAGCTAGCAGCACATTTCCTACCTGGAGCACTGCCTGGCAGTGACCAAGTCTGATTTTTGGGAAGTTCCTCCCAGTTTTGTGTCCAGGCCCTTGCACTGCAGCTGCCCCTGTTTGTTGTGCACTCCCTGGGGAGCCACTGTCCCCTTTGTCCCCAGGGGAGTGTCCAGCCTGCCTGGGCTCAGCCCCATCCTGGCCCCAAAGGGCCCTTGCTTGCCTGGATGGGATGGAGGATTTGAAGTGGAATTCCAGTGGAATTCAGCATAAGTTGCTGAGCTATGATGTTTTTAAAGAATCAGGATGCTCTGTGGTAGCTGGCACTTGTTCTCACATTATTGATGCTTATCACTGATTGATGAAATTATTATGGATGCTTTTACTGCCTGGTGTTATGGGGAACTTGGGGGTTTTTTATTGTCTGTAAAAGCTGTTTGGAAGGTGAGGTGTCCCATGGTTTCTGTGCACAAACTGCTTGCTCTGGAGGGACTTTGGGGCAGTGGATCTTTGCACTACTGCTTGAGCCAAGCATCTTTGTACAGTAGATTCTTTTTGCTTCTCTGGTGAGATCCTCTTAAAACTATCAGACTAGTTTGAGATAAATTCTCACAATTGTAAACTGCATATTGTAAGAGAAGATACAGCTCCTTTTCAATCTAGTGTTGAATTTTAATTTTTGGTTTTATTTCAAAACTTGTCTAAAAAGAATCCAGGGGGTTTGCCCATAGCTCTAAACATAGGAATACCACTGAAGCCTGGTGAAATGCTTGCTGTTAACTAAATATTCTCCCTAAAATGTTTGGGAGTTTTTGTAACAAACTGAAGTGTTGTATGGTACTTCAGGAAAAGAAAGATAAAAAAAAAAAAAAAAGATAAAAAAAAAGCATGCAAGAGGATTTTGTCTCCTTGTTTATCAGTAAGAGCTAAAAAGAATTTTATCCTGTTTGTGCAAGGTCAACATCAGCCTTGCATTGAATTCTTTAAATGGAACTATTAAATTTACAGTTACAAAAATGTGCTTAATGTACAAAGCCAGTTTAAAGGATTAGGTTCATAATGTCTATATAAATCAATAGTGTCTTAGACTTCAGATTTTGAAATTAGCATTTTGCTGGGATTTACGAGTATTGGTATAATCTTTATATGTGAAAACTCAAAAGCTCTCCACAGAATCTTTATAGGATAGCAGTAATTATTAGTTCACAAGTTTTTCATTTCCCTGGGTTATGATTTTTTTTGGAAAGCTCTGTGAAAGCTGGCTACAGATTTTCAAGAACCAAATCTTAGGAAAAAAAGGCAAATCCAAAATAACAACATCATCTGATGCTTCTATTTTACTACTATTTTTTTCATATTTGAAACATTTATATAATTTAATGGACATATCTGTTAGAACAAAAGTGTCTTTCAAAGGAAAACTAGTTTAGAAAATAATTTATGTAAATATAGGGTGCTCGTATTTATGAAGTCTAAAATATTTTCTGAAATTGATGCTGGTCACTTTGTCTTTTGATAGTTTTTCAGTCTATATTAAATTGCAGATATTTTTAATGTTTTTATTATTGATCTAATTTTCAGAGGTGTCACATGTCTATCTAGAAGTGTAGAAGAGTAGCACCTTTTTCAGAAATGCACTTGCCTTATTTTCTAATTTAAAAAAAAATAAAAAAATGAAATATATCAGTTAAATTATATTTGTATTCAAAGTAATCCCAGAAAGAAAATCACTGGAGGGTTCATACATAAATTTCTTGCTAATTATGTTTCACTCTCTGTCCTCTGAGACATGACGTTAACAATTTTACCAGCACATCTGTTTGCATTCACATTTTACCAGTTACAAGTGCTGAGAGAGTTTTGGTTTCTTGGTTTTTTTTTTTTAAAAAAAAAAATGATGTTACACTGTTTACATTTCTTAGTTTATTTAAAAGGAAGATAATTTTACCTTTGAGATGAATCGAACTCAACCTCCAAATGTCATGGGAATGAAAGGTTTTGATCATGTACAAATATACATATCTGTGGCTGGACAGAGCAGAAATGGAAAGGCTCCGGGCTCCTTTTGCTCCAGTTTTATGCAGTTTATTGAGAAAAGCAGTGCAACACGGGCTGTCACGTGTGTTTGTCTGTGATGCAGCAGGATCCTGGCCCAGCACTCCGCTGATGTTCGTGTTAATCAAATTATTTGGCTAAAACCAGAACGGTGCCTCCGAGGGCGCTGGCAAACAGCTCCAGGGACCTTCCCAGGAATTTTGCCTTTTGTTGTGGTTTTAGCTGGCTGTGGTCAGTGTGAGAAACGTGATCTCAAATGATCTGTTCTTCTTGAGAACTGGGATACAAGAGCGTTCCCGTAGTTCCCTTCTGTAATATGCAAATGATCATGAATATCTGTATATTTTTGCATTTTTGTGTGTGGTATATGTACTACCTCAGACAAATGCTGTAAAAAACACAATATCTTCACGGTTTCTATCCAAACCACAATCCATTAGCAACCTACTTTAAATTCATCCCACGACACACCAAACTCTGAGAATCTGGCTGAGTTTTGGGTTTGGCTCTGGAAATCCTCCTATAGCTTTTGTTAAGGAAACTTTGCAGCGTTTTCACCCCTCGGGCAAAGCCTGACTTTGGGGTGACTTTTTGGTCCTCCCCAGCCTCAGAAGGGTCTGGTTGGGCAGGATTTCAAGCTGGTGATATTTCTGTTGGGAGCAAACTTCCCTCTGTGTGTAAATTGCTTCTTTTCCATTCAGCAAAGGCTTGGCTGAGCTCTGCTTTGCTGTTTGCCTTCCAAGTGCTGCAAGGTGGGGCAGGACAAGTGCTGGGCAGTGTCCAGCCCAACCTCTGATGTGCCATACTGTATTTGCAAGTTTAAACTCATTTTTAAATAAGTATCGTGAGAAACCTCTTCTTCCGCGGCGTCTCCGCGCGCGCCCACGCATGCACACGAAATGTAAATAAAAAAAAAAGAATTAAAGAAAAAAAGAAAGAAATGAAAGCAGGTGCAGCCAAATGCCTCAGCTTCAGGTGTCTCCAGGTGTCATAGTGCTGCTTTTGTGCTCCAGGGAGGGAGCTGTGTGAGCCTGTGCATCCTGCAAGCACCCCCTGATGTCACTGGGGAAGGAGAAGGGTTTGTTCTCGGGGTGCTTTTAGCACTGTTTGAGGTGATACATATGCCACAGAATGTGAACAAATAACCTTTTACAGTTCAGTCTGCTACCATGCACCATTTGATTTCCCTTTTGGAAGTCATAGGACTCTTGATGCCAAAAAAAAAAAAAAGAAAAAAAAGAAAAAAAAAAAAGATTAAAAAAAAAAA